TCTTGAGTTAAATAGATTCGGTTAAGGTTTCGGTAATAGAAATCAAATTAAATCAATCATCGTGGGACGATACTCAAAATTTTACAATTTTCACTTTATTACTTGTTAACGAACCGTACACTTGCGATGATTTACAAATCGAACATATTTTCCTGAACATGGAGCATGGGTCCACAAATTAATTTCATAAGGAAACAATTGTATCAATCCTTAAATAGCTTGTCTAGAATCGAAGATCCGGAAGGATAAACGCCAATTAGAAAATTTTGTTTTCAAGTAAACAATATGAAAACTTCTCAACCAATGATTGGACAACACGTGTTAAATTAGTTCCACAATGCATCTAACCTAATCTAAACCAAGATTACATGTAAGTACCTGTTCATAGTTCAAAGAAAAGGTAGCAACGTTAAACTCTAGTCAAAGTTCTGTCTCTCATACCCGTTTCCTTTGTTCTTTATTATTATTTTCCACCAATTGAATAGGTTGTCAAAATGTAAACGGTCTCCAGAATTCCCTTTGATACGATGATCTTTCCATAGTAAAGATGTTCAAATGACCTTATATTTGGGCAAAATATGCCTAGTTACATTCTCTTTGAGATATTTCGACAACTATATGAAGGTTCACTTGGTCTACCCATTTCTCATCCCACTGCAACCTTGACACCAACTAGCCACGTGACTGGTACTTCTTTGCTTAGCATATGGACTTCAAATTAATTAAGATTAAATCTCTGTTCAACACGTGAAATATGATAAATTGAATCATGATCTGATGCTTGTGCATGTGTTCCAAGTGTATATCTATGAAGCAACCTGGAACTGTGTTTGTGTACGTACGTTACAATATTCGAAACATGGGATTCAGGGAAGGTTTTTTCTAGTATTTGTCTCCCCTCTTAATGTTCTGCAATCTCAAGGTATCCCATGACATGCACAGAATGATATGTTCAAGTGCCAGTCATTATTTTTAGGTCTCAATCTTGACTTGAGGAGACAAAAGATTAATTTGTACTTACGATATACATTTGAATAACCGAACGTGTAATAAAGAGAGAGTTAGAGACGCAATTTGCATCATAGTCTTTTTCAATCTAGGTGGAGCCTTAGGTTTTTTTCGATTCTTAAATTGAAGATTGTCTAATGAGTGATAAGAAAGTGGCAGGAGTTAATAACGATGCATGAAAGTGAGTTGTATCGAGTCAAAATAAGTTTACAATGTTACTAATCACAAGAACGTGAAGAGAGTTCGATAGTGAAACTCCAAATTTGGAACTATTACTTGACGCACTAACTATGAAGCATGACGCCGTACTTCGACAAAGGAATTTTCACTTGGAGTAAAAATTAATTACTATTTTCAACTTTGTCTACATTGACCAGCTTAGGATTTTTCCATATTTTAAAAGTTCCAAACTAAGGTAACTTATCAAGTACCAACAAAACCTAGACCATAAAGCAAACAAAATTCCAACTATTTATGATTTTGATATATACATTGATTGGTTTCATTTCAAGAAATTTCCAAATTTCCATGGGAAAATTTGCTCCATTGGTCCATAATATATTGCCTCAAGGGTAAGTTGGCTTCTCTACCTTTTGCTATAGCTATTACGCAATCAGTCTTCAGTGAATGAAATGATTCAAATATCTATTAAATCGTCGCGTGATCCTCACATATCTTGCTATGTAAAACTAAATTTTGCTTCCCAATATGAGTTGATGCCAATAAATTTGAATCCTTGTCATGAAGTCATGGCACACTATAGACTTCAAAATACTTGAAATGGCCAAATGTGCTTGGCATAATCAATATTATAGCTAAGAGGACACCACAAGGGTTTGATAAGATTGATGGATAGACAAGGGCTTTTGGCATGTTGTGATTCATGATTGGTATTTGATGGAAAATAAGTGAATTCTCAATCAAAATAAGGGACTTAAATGAAAAGAAAAATATGAGTGCTTTCGTCTTTATATTTTGTAAGGAATGAAGACAAGTATATGACATTAATAGGAACCAAGTCAAGGAGACAAGATCTTATCATAATCTATCATTATAATTCAATACATCTACACACATATTTTCATGGAGGTGATGCTTGTACTTTTATGCAGTACAACTTTTGGCATAAGGTTGTTGGAAATAGAAATTACTAAGTGTACCTTGACGTTTTAATTTGGTCGGTATTTCTTTAGTGCCATTATAGTCTATCTATTTCAACATTTTTATTAAATATTAAATAGTACATCAAAGTAGAAATAAAATAAAAGATCAATACAATCTATAATTAGGTCTTGTATACATATCCGACCGTCCACCAAAAAGTACGAGAAGTGATGACAGAAAGTCTTGATGCGAGTGAATTAACATTACGATTTTCCTCATGATAGATATGCGTAATAGGAACACCGATCCACTTGAAAAGTCTGATTGGGACATCTTTCTCACTGAACGCCAACCGTCGAGGGACCTTACGTGATCGAGACCATAACAAAATTGTTAAAAACACAACTTTTTAACTTTTTAACTAGTACTATCATGATCATATCACTTTTACGAACAAGAGCCCCTCGCGACTTTACGAAAGATCTAGAGAATTCACAAGTTTTGAGATTGTTATACCTAACAATCCCTAATTGAACATTTTGTGAGAACAATTCTACACTCTCCATACCACCTACTGAGAAGAACAATTAAAAATACATACATATATGATTTTTATATATGTATGTATATGTGAAAATAGAGAGAGGCACACGTGTGCATGATCTGGAGACAAGGCGAAATGGGTGGTGCGCGGTGCATAAATTTGGTGTCTGTTTGGCTCAAATAAATAAGTTATTGTCGATACAACTTTTTGGCTTTTGTGTGTCTGTGTCGCTTATTATGGAATTTTTTTCTAATGCATAGATAAGTTAACCCATGATGAAATGTCAAACTTAGCTTGAAAT